TCAAACACAAAACCGCAGGGTGATCAGGGGGTTGATGTGCCGCCCCCTGTCACACACAGAGCCGCAGGGCGATCAGGGGATTTAGAAACTCCCCCCTATCAGGCACAAAGCAAGGCTGATCAGGGGGTTAGGGCACCTTCCCCTGTCACACTGATCCCGGTGCTGGGAAGCATATTACCCTTTTACTATATAGGATAGAAGCCTGGTGCACGGGTGGGGGCCAGCTGGTTTGCCCTGAAAAGTGTCCTGGATCAAGGTGGGGGTCCACACTGGGGTGCCTGGCCAGCCTGGATGAGGAGATGATGGCTGTTTGCATCTGGTCACACCCCCTTCAGGGTGGGGGTCCCCACTGGGGTCCTGGCTAGTCTGGCTGAGGGGCTGAGGGCTGTTTTCTGGCTGACGGGGGACTATAGCTCCAACCGCTCCTTTTTTTCTTTTTCTTTTTTCTATTCTGGGCCAGCTTTTAGCTCTGAGGGCCTTGCTGCTGAAAGCAGGTTTCTGGCCTTTACCTTCTGTATTTGATACAATGTTGCGGTCCGGCTGGCTGAAGCCCGGCTGACTAACGCAGGTTTCTGGGGTTTTGTTTAGCTTCTATATTTGCAACATAGTTGCTTAGAGTTGCAGCTGAGAGGCCGGCAGCAGCAGGCGGGGAACGTTGGAGTTCGCCATCACTGGAGCAAGCAAGCCTCCCTGTTCGCTTCAGTGCATGGCTGCCGGCCGCCATCTTGGCTGACAGTTAATTTGCATAAGGATATGCTGATTAGCCAATGGGAAGGGTAGCGGTCGTACGCTAATTACCACGTTTCTCTTTTATTAGTGTAGATGTTTCTATCTCTCTCTCCCTCTACCTTCCTCTCTAAAATAAATAAAAATATATCTTAAATCAATTAAAAAATATATTGATGAGAGAAAAAAATCAATTGGCTGCCTCCTGCATGCCCCATACGGGGGAATCAAGCCTGCAACCCCAGCATGTGTCCTGACTGGGAATTGAACCATGGCCTCCTGGTTCATAGGTCAATGTTCAACCACTGAGCCACACCAGCCAGCAGGAAGGAAATGTTTAGCAAAACACCTAAATAACCTATTTGATTCTAAAAAAGATAGCCCAGTGACTAAAAGTTAGAAAAAAAGAGACCTAAATTGTGCTTTCTAGAAAAATGGGAGGGCTCCGGAAGGAGAGGAAAGGAGAAGCTAGAACAACATCATAGGTTGAGGCCAGCAGAAACGAAAAAGCTGACTAGAGAAAAATTCCTGATGGTGGCATTGACCACAGGTTTTTAAGATCCAGATGTCTAACAGTTCACTATGTTGTTTTCTGGTCTGTGCGGTAACCGCCCTCCATCTCACCAAACATTCTACAACCAAACCTTTATGTCAATAAAACTTAGGTGAGAAGAAATCAGATGGGTGTTCAGAATCAGTGATTCAAAAAAGTGGACAGTTATAGGGAGCTGCTCTACGGTCAAGCCTCAGGCTGACCTGTGGCAGGGCCACAACCAAGTCCCAGCCTGGAGGGCAGAGCTCTCCTAGCATAATTAAGCCTGACCTTGTAGCCCTCCCTAATTCTTTCCTAAGTAGCTAATGGGCTGTGGGAGGTGCAGCAAGTGTTGCCAAAACAAGAACATTTGTATACATGTTAATCTATCCTTGTTTTAATCAGACTATAAAATAAAGCATCGGCTTGCAGGCTGAGTCTTTTGTGTCCTCATCCAGGCATAGGAGATCCACCAAGCCCCAGCTGTATTCTCTTGTCTGTCTTTTCTTCAGTCCTTCACCGCCCCTCCTCAGGTTCACCCTTGATTGTTCTGGCGTGGCACAGACAGTGTGAGTAGAAGATCTAGAGTTGAATCAACACAGTAACTCAAAGCCAGAGATGACTAGAGGAACTGTAAGCTCCACTTACCCTCCCCACCCCACATCATCATCCCCTGAAATGTTGAGTTGCCATGGCAGAGGTTTCACCTGATATTATTTAAATATTCAGAGGTCCATAAATTCCAGCAAACAAGGATACTTAGGAACTTCTTGAGTTAAAAGCTTTATTTGTTTGCTTTGGGAGACAAGTTAGAAGCTAAGAAAACTGGTTCTAGATACTGCCTAGGTTTTAATACTGCCTCCACTAGTTATTATCTATATGACTTTGGCAAGTTACTTTAAATATCAAAGCCTCAATTTCCTCATCTATAAAATGGACATAATAATAGTACCTACTTAATAAGATTACTGTGGTATAATGAATATGAACAATTAGTACAATGATTGGCAGTAGCAATTATTTGCTGAATACAAAAACTAAGAAGTCAGCTAGGTAAAAGTGCAAAATTCTTGGAATGACTTGTAGTTCTCCAATCTCCAATCTGCAGCTTCGCATTCTCATGCTTTTTTACTCTTGCTATTCTCTTGGTTTGGAATATCCCTTCTCCATTTCAACTTTCTATCCATCAGGCCTTCCAACCAGCCTAGGTGTCACTCCAACAGGCAGAACTACTCATGTCTATCCTTTCTACTATTCTTATGTCTATAATTTCTACAAAAACTGTTCTCATTTTTGCTTGGAACATGATTGGTTGTTTATTGTTGTTAAATTCTTCCAGTTTACTGCCTGTATCTGTTGCTGATTTCATTGCTAGTATGTGCAAAACTGGGATGTTATGTGTTTACTCTGTACAGCACCTCAAGGTCTTCTGAGGTTAGGAGCAACAGAAATCTAAGAACACATGTAAAAGCTGACTATTGTATCAAGAAACTAAAGAAAAATCAAATATTGTCATGCTGCCTGCTGGCATGGCTCTGTGGTTAAGCATTGACCTATGAACCAGGAGGCCATGGTTTGATTGCTGGTCAGAGCACATGCCGGGTTGCAGGCTTGATCCCCAGTGTGGGGCAGGCAGGAGGCAGCTGATCAATGATTCTCACCGTTGATGTTTCTCTCTCTCTCTCTTCCTCTCTGAAATCAGTAAAAAAATATTCTCTATATATATATAAAAGCCAAGAGACTGAATGGTGGAACAACCAGAACAACCAGAACGACCAGTGGCTATGATGCGTACTGCAGCAGCCAACCAGCCCGATTAGGGGCAGGGCCAGCCATCCAACTGCCCATGGCCCCTCCCCACTGCTGGCCCCACTCCCAATTAGCCCCCCCCCACACACCCTGATCACTGAAGTGTGACCTTCAGTGATTCTAAGTAAGTAAACCCTCTCCAGCCTTCATAGGCCAGGAACCTGAATGATGAGTGATCAGGAGGAAAACTGCTCATGGTCTGGACTGTCAGTCAGGTGTCCAGGAGAGGTGCCCAGCACAACCACCATCTTCCTGCATTCTCTCTCCACTGCTTACTACCAAAGAGGGCAGCCACATCACACCACGGCCTCTCTCTAGAGCAGTGGTTCTCAACCTTCCTATTGCTGCGACCCTTTAATACAGTTCCTCATGTGTGGTGACCCCCAATTTCATTGTTACAAATTGAACATAATTAAATCATAGTGATTAATCACAAAAACAATATGTAATTATATGTGTGTTTTCCGATGGTCTTAGGCGAACCCTGTGAAAGGGTCGTTCGACCCACAAAGGGGTCGCGACCCACAGGTTGAGAACCGCTGCTCTAGAGGGTTTGTCAGCAGGGAATTAAACCGCATTACCTGTCTAAGGAGAGGCTTAGAAATGGAAGCTGTAAGTGTCCCTGACACTAAAGCGCCTTTGAAGCTTCAATTCATCCAAAAGCCAATAGCAAATGTGTATACACTCCGCAAAGATCTTTGACACTAATAACTCCTCCTGGCTGGCCCCACCCCCGATCAGCACCCCACACCCTGATTGGGGGCGGGCAGCTAGCCCCCACCCATGCACTAATTTGTGCACTGGGCCTCTAGTATATAATAAAAGGGTAATATGCAAATAGACCAAACGGCGGAACGACGGGTCGCCATGATGTGCACTGACCACCAGGGGGTAGATGCTCAATGCAGGAACTGCCCCTTGGTGATCAGTGTGCTCCCACAGGGGGAGCACCACTCAGCCAGAAGCCCTGAGTTGGGCTCACGGCTGGCAAGCACAGCGGCAGTGGCGGAAGCCTATCCGGCCTCAGGGCAGCCCTGGGGATGTCTGACTGACAGCTTAGGCCTGGCAGGGGACAGGCCTAAGCCAGCAGTTGGATATTCCCCGAGGGCTCCCAGACTGTGAATGGGCGCAGGCTGGGCTGAGGAACCCCCCCAGGTGCACAAATTTTGTGCACTGGCCTCTAGTTTTAAATTTTAGAAAAGTAAAAAAAAGCAAAAATTATTGTCATGTTGTTGTTGTTGTTGTCATCACTGAGATATGCACAGCCCTCTCCTTCCCTCTTTAAAACGGCCCAAACAGATAACTTTTATTTTTCATTAATAATTAAGCAGTTTCACCCTAGCCAGTTTAGCTCAGTGGATAGAGCATCGGCCTGGGGAAAGAAGGGTCCTGGGTTTGATTCCAGTCAAGGGCATATGCTAGGGTTGCAGGCCCGATCCCTAGTAGCGGGGCGTGCAGGAGGCAGCCAATCAATGATTCTTTCTCAACATTGATGTTTCTATCGCTTTCTCCCTCTCCCTTCCTCTCTGAAATCAATAAAAATATATTTTAAAAAATAATAATAATTAAGCAGTTTTGTTGTTCTCCTTTTTGGATAAAGCAATCATTTCCTACCTCCTTCTCCAACTTCTACCCCAGGCACAAGTTCCCAGAAAGTGGGTTTGGGAACGAGGGTGAGCCGAAGAGCCAGAGGGAGCATTGCATTTCTGGAGCAGCCTCACCTCGGGTGTTAGGGGCCAGAGGGAGCATTGCATTTCCGGAGCAGCCTCACCTCGGGTGTTGGAAGAGATGCAATGTGGACAAGAGACAGCAGGTCCAGGCCACTCCTCGGAGGTAAAAACTTTAAAGCTAAAGCAACGCGACGGCGCGACTGCACACCTATTCTAACAGCTACAGAAAGAAATTGCTCTTTGTTTCCAACCGAAAATACCAGTCTCCATAGAGACTGTCAAAAATTGCCAGTGCCAACTATATTTCAAGTTGTCACGGCGGGGTATTGGGAAAAGTTTTCAATTAGCAATAATCGTGCCTCGGATAAACCTCATTGGCTACGATACTGCCACTGCGCAAAGCTGGCGAAAATCTCCCCCATTCATCGTCCCCAGTAAGCAAGGCTCCTAATTCAAAAAGGCGAGTTTGAAGCTCATGGAAAAACTTTCCATTATTGTTTGGTTGAAAATTATACAGCCACATTAGGATCTCTTGAAAACGCATAGGCTGTTTCTAAAGATTCTTTTGCTTTATTCACTTCACTAGATTTTGGTGGAGAATGAAGCAAAGCATTATGGGAGGGGACATGCTAGTACCAGCCCTGGGCAAACTATGGTCCTCCGGCGGATCCAGCCCGTTTGAAATGAATAAAACAAAACAAAAAAAAGACCGTACCCTTTTATGTAATGATGTTTACTTTGAATTTATATTAGTTCACACAAACACTCCATCCATGTTTTGTTCCGGCCCTCCGGTCCAGTTTAAGAACCCACTGTGGCCCTTGAGTCAAAAAGTTTGCCCACCCCTGTTAACGAGGAATTGGGGTGGATGAGAAACGGGCTCAAGGTCGGGGTACTGTTCACTTGATTCCCAATTCACAGTGTAACTGTCCTCTCCAAAATAAAATGTTTTTATTATGGTAAAATATACGTAACAAAAGTTGCCACTTTAACCATTTTAAGTGTACAGTTCAGTAGCATCAAGTACATTTTACATGGCTTGCAACCATCACTGCTATGTATCTCCAGAACTTTTCCATCGTCCCAAACTGAAACTCTGTACCCATTAAACACTAACTTTCCATGGTTCCTCCCCCCACCCCCTGGCAACCTCTATTCTACTTTCTGTCTCTATGAATTTGATTATTCTAAGTACCTCACATTAGCAGAATCATCCAATATTTGACTTTTTGTGTCTGGCTTGTTTCATAATGTTTTTAATGTCCATCCACGCTGTAGTATATTTCAGTTTCATTTTATGACTGATATTCTGTTGTATGGAATTTTGTTACCTATTCATTCTACAATGGGCATGCATTCCTTCTATCTTTTTAAAAATGTAATCCTTTTTAAATTTTATATATATATAATTTTATTTCAGAGAGGAAGGGAGAGGGAGATGGAAACATCAATGAGAGAGAGTCATTGATTCGCTGCCTTCTGCATGCCCCCCTACTGAGGATTAAGTCTGCAATCGGGGCTTGTGCTGTTGACTAGAGTCGGGCCTGGAGCCCTTCAGTCTGCAGGCCGATGCTTTTTATACACTGAGCCAAGCCAGCTAGGGCTGCTTTTACCTTTTTAAAAAATACGTTTTTAGCCCTGGCCGGTTTGGCTCAGTGGATAGAGCGTCGGCCTGCGGACTGGGGGGGTCCCAGGTTCGATTCCGGTCAAGGGCATGTACCTTGGTTGCGGGCACATCCACAGTGGGAGGTGTGCAGGAGGCAGCTGATCGATGTTTCTAACTCTCTATTCCTCTCTCTTCCTCTCTGTAAAAAATCAATAAAATATATTAAGAAAAAAAAAAAGTGGGCTTGGGGTGCAGAGGTCAATATGTAAACAACATAGCTACACACTCAAAATTTCCTCTTCCAATTGACAACCATCCAGGGGCTTGTTTGTATTAGAACACCCCAGTCTCTGCCCTTTCGGTTAGCTTCTTGCAGCAGCCTGCCAGGGAGCTTTCTACTTACCTGAATATTCATCGTTCTGGATGCTCTTCTTTCCATACTGAATATCCAAGCTCCCATCTGACATCATTTTTCCTTCAGCCTAAAGAACTTCCTTTAGCCTTTCTTATAGTGCAGGTCTGCTGGTCTTATAGTTCAGGTCTTCGTTTTATTTTTTTCTAAAAATGTCTTTATTTCACCTTCATTCTAGAATGTTAGTTTCTCTGGATACTGAATTCTGGGTTAACAGGGTTGTTTTTTCTTCTTTTAGTCCTTTAAAGATGTTAGTCCACTGTCAGTCCACTAATAGTCTGGCCTCCATTATTTTTAATGAGAAGCCAGAGAACTTTTGAATTATTGTTCTTCTGTATGTAAAGTGACATTTTGCTGCAACTATTTGAAAATTTTTCTATTTATTTATTTATGTATTGCAGTTTGACTATAATGTGCCAAGGCATAGTTTACTTTTACTGATTCTTCAGTTTTGCTGATCTTCTGGTATCTATAAATGTTTTTCAATAAATTTGGGAAATTTTCAGCCATGGTTGTTTCAAATATTTTTCACCCATTCTCTCTCTTCTTCTGGGATTCCTATTACCCATATGACAGCCATATGTTCTCAGGACAGAAGATAAAATGAAACCCACCCATGCCAGTCCCTCTGTCTGAGTATTGACTCCTTTCCAGCATCTTCCTGCTTTTGTTTAAGCTCAGTGCCTTCAGGTAGTTTTTCTACTCCCCAGCATTTATAGCTATTGTCTACAGAGGGTCAATCTGATAGGAAGTCACCTACCTGGCTATTACCAGAAATGAACCCTGTTTGGGATGTTTGGAGGAGGCCATTTGATCCCCTCCCCCATGTTGTCCACACACCCCCCCTTCCTTCTGGCCTCCCAGGAAATTCATCCAGTTTGTGTGAAAACATCACTTCCCTACCTAAAAAGTCCTAATCCTAGAAGTGATCATGCAGAAAAGGATTCCTTCTGTTATTCTCATGTAAACATGATGTAATAAAAATATGTTATTCTCATGTATATATGATGTAATAAATGTGATGTAAAATAGCTCAGTCCTGAATCCATCATTCTAAAGTCAAAAGGATTAAGATTCTAGAGGAATAAAAATAGAGTTGAGCCCCAGCCGGTTTGGCTCAGTGGATAGAGCGTCGGCCTGTGAACTGAAAGGTCCCAGGTTCGATTCCGGTCAAGGGCACATGCCCGGGTTGTGGGCCCGATCCCCAGTGGGGGACTTGAAGGAGGCAGCCAATCCATGATTATTCTCTCATCATGGATGTTTCTATCTCTCTCTCCCTCTTCCTTCCTCTCTGAAATCAATGAAAATATATTTTTTAAAAATAGAGTTGAAAGATCTGGGTTAGGTCCAATTCTTCTGAAAGCCAGCTGTGTGACCTTGGGCACGTCAGTTACCTCGTCTAAGCCAGGAGACCCTCATACCCCACACACCCAACCTGCCTCAGAGGTCAATTATGAAGATCAAATGAGGTAACACATGGGAACATGCTATATAATGACTTTATTTTACTGTGACTCCTTGAAGGTCAAAGACTGAATTCTAGTCCCTGGGACTTGGCATGTAGTAGAGGCTTGTGCAAATGTATGACTGAATGAAGTAAATCTAACCACACTCCTCCCACAGGTCTAGGGAGCTCTGTGAGAGACACGACTGCTCAACTACATCCCAAAGGGAGGAGGGTCTACTTCTCTACCCTTTAGAAACCCAACGCTGAAGGCATTTATTTGTAACATCCAGAGTGAAATGTAATCCTAATTGACTAGTGTCACTAGACACTTGCTCAGGATGCCGACCACCTCCCACCAGCAGCCCCTCGGGAAGCCTCTAAGAGGATGCATGAGCCCACCAACTAGGAAGCCAGATGTATAACTTAATAAACAAGAAAGAGAAAGGGATTCGGCATAAACTACAATACAGGCTTCTGGGAGAGGAGGTGGGGCCACACCTGGGGAGGGGGAAAGGATTGGACTAAGTGGAAGGTAAGCCTCAAGTGTAAATAAAGACATGGACAAAGGAAAACTAGAGGTATGGCTTGGAAGAAAATGCGATGGAAGCCACCATTCAACCTGCCCTGGCTTTGTGCCTCATGTGCAGAATGAGTTAAATAATATCCACTTCTTAAAGTTATACAACTGTTTCCCAACTGTTCCTCTCCCCCTCACCCAAAGTCCTCTCTGTCTCAGTGACATTTTTCTCAAGGGAAGGGAAAGTGGCTACCTGTTTTAAGGTAAGTCCTGTGGCAGGAGCTGGACTGTCAGGCTGCACAAGCCCAGAACTGCCCTCCTGCTTTCTCTAGATTTATCTCCCCTCCGTTTACAGCTTTTGTTCCTGCCACCAGCCTCCTTCCAGTTCTTTGAACAGCAAACTCACTCACGGGGCTGCTGACTTACTTTTTCCCCCCGCCATATCGTGGTTTGTTGGCTCTTTCTACTAGTAGTTGTCCAGGTCTCTGCTCAGATGCACCTCCTTGAAGAGGCCTTTCTGTTTCCTCTGAAACTATAGTTTCTGTCTGAAACTATCTGGTTTACTAATGTGATGGCTATTGTCAGCCTGTCTCAGTTCTCAGCAGAATGCAGGCTGCATGAGAGCAGGGGGCTTCTTTGTTCATTGCAGTAACCCCAGTGCTGGGAACTCTTTGAAGTATTACTCAGTCTTTGATGAATAAATGAATAGGATAAGGTGAGGATTACATGAGATGATGTGCTTAAACACTGGAGAGTGCCAGGCACTCTTAATACGGCATTTATCACAACTAAAAGTCGGAACGGACATCAACCAGAACCACAGGAAGGCTGGCTGAGGAGAGACTCTTCAATTAGAAGCAAAAACAACAGCATTCCGACGCTCAGAGGAGGCGTAGTGTGGAAAATTTAAAGGTACAGTGGTGCGGTGGTGAGGCGGTGCGTGCGAAAAGCGGGCTGGCGGCTGAGGACGCGGTTGTCATTTTCAATCAGGAGTGAGTCTCAGACTCTGGGCTACAGATCCGGGCGAGTCTCTAGGGACCCAGACTCAAACGGGAGAAGCGGGACTGTCTGGCTACGGCCCCTCCGAGGTTTGCAGCGGTTGTGGGGACAGAGAGGCAGAGCCCCTGGGGACGGACTGAGAGCGGCCATAGCGGCTCCCTCCCCCCGCCCTGTTGATCCTGCCCGCCCAAGCCCTGCGCACAGCCATTTGCCGATCGCCTCAGGCAAAGGCTGGATTAGCGCCTCCCCAGAAGACAGACGTTTTCCGCTTAGCTGATTCCTACAGCCAGTCAGCCTGGTGGTCAAATCCCTCTAGTGTTAACTACAACAATTAAGGCTTGGCTAGAACAAGACTGCGCACAGAGACCACAAGGGGGTGCACCAAGAAAGCATAAAAGATGCGGAGACAAAAAAACATGACAG